CGCCAGGAACACCCCCATGCCCCAGTGGGTGAGGCTCAATAACCAAAACGAGAGGTCATCACAAGGCAAAGTCCTTGATTAGATTTCTAAATGGTAACCTAGGCCTTACCTACTTAATAAACAGAGGAAGGGCCAACCTCAACAAACTTTTGTTCAATCAGAACCCCAAAATCTTTTCGGCAGCGGGTGGGGTGTTGGGGGGGGGGGCTCCCAAGCAATGCTCAGGAGGTCAAGTTCAATGTCAGACTCAGAACGAGCTGCTCAGGCACTATGGTCCAGGGCTGCACCCAGTGGTGCTCAGGGCAGTGTATGCCAGGCGCTTGCTTTAACCCTTGTACCATCTCTTCAGCCTCCCCAAATATTTGTTTTGGTTTGGTTTGGAGGCTACAGCCAGCTACGTGCAGGGATCACTCCTGATGGGCAATGGGGGAAGTCGGTGGTGCCAGGACTGATCTAAAGCCATCGCATGTCAGGCGACGTGCCTACAGCCCTGTCCTATCTCTTCACCACTCTTCCCACATTAATTTCAATATTACTCTAAAGAACACCCCCCAACCCAAAACTTTAAACTTAAGAGCCAAGAAAAAGTTCTATGGGCTGGAGTGATAACACAGCAGGCAGGGTGCTTGGCTTGCCGGCAGCCCACCCTGGATTCAATCCCCAGCACTTCATATGGTCTCCCAAACCCTGTCAAGGGTGATCCCTGAGCACCCCTGGATAAGGACTTCCCCTCACCCCACAAAAAAGTTTCTGCCTGGACACACACACACACACACACACACACGCACCTGACAGAGACTTAAAGCCGAATCTCCTAAGGAATGACAGCGTGTATGTTTACTCCTACTAATCTGAGATAAGAAAACAAAATGCAAAGCAAGTGAATACCTCTGTGTTTTTCACATGCTTCTCACATATAATAGAGTTCCCTGGTTAAAACTGTAGCCAAGAATCAAATGAGTCCACTTGTTGATTCAGTGTGGCCTAGAACAAAATTCATCCAAAGTCACTGACCTAGAAATTCTATAGGCAGAAACTGACTGTCTTTCCCCGTATCATCTATTCATTTCCCCCCAAAACGAATCCAGTGGAAAACTCGGGACTCCCTCAAGACACTTGTTTTACTACTGCTCACTCGGAGCAGGTTACTTCCCTTCTTCCTGCATTCTCTCCCGTTTCTGCAGACCCTTCCAACGCCCTCAAAGAACTGCCCGAGTGAGCCACCAGAGCCACTCCCCCGCTGACAAGAGGACAGCCAGGCCGAACAAGGCTTCAGCCCATCGGCCGCTCCCCTCCTGGGCTCTTGTTATGGCAACAGCATACTTCACACAGCTGAAGGGAATGTGATGCAGGGAAGCGGCTGAAAGAGGCCTCCGTGCTTCCGCCTTTCCCCAGAGAACCACTCTCCCAGAAGGAAGGCGGTTCGGAACTAAGAACTAAGGCATCAGAATCACAGCAAGCTAGCATTCCAGAGATAGGGATGTCCCGACATTTAAAAAACATTTCTTTAACTATCTGCAAACTCCTTTCCTAGCAAAGTAACCTCTTTTTTGGGGGGTTCTGCTTAAGATAATGGAGAGAAAAACCTCCCTACTCCTCAAACCGGATGAGCGGAGCTGTGAACCCTGATGCTCAAATCCCTGTTCTCCAATAATTGCTCCCCTGAAGAGAAAGAGAGGCTGAAGAGAGAGCTCAGGGGAGCTCAGGGGGCCGACAGCAAGCGCTGCAGAAGGCCAGTCTGATCATCAGCACAACACACCGCCATGCAGAGCCAGGAGGAGTCTCTGAGCACCACACAGTGTGACTCAAAAGAAAAAAAAAAAAAAGCAAAGACAAAAGGAAAGAGTGAAGAGAGGCAAAAACCGCAAAGGATCAGGATGCTAAACTTGAGATCACTCACTGATAGTAACTAAAGGGAGGACATTAACAAGTTAATTTTAAATTCTTAGCTTCTGGTTTATAAAGTGAAAGCATTAGATCTGGGCCAGCCGCACGCAGTGTGTCAATAAAGTGATGCCGCCTACAGTAACTTTCCCTTCAAGGAGGGTAGAAATAGTTTCTCAAGGGATAAACCAATCATCTCAACTCCTCCACAGGCGAAGAAAACAAAACAAAATTAAGGGGATTTTGATTTGGGCCTTGAATTAACATCAACCATCACTTCCCTCCGTTACAAACACAACGATACAAGAAATCCAAGGCATGGGGCAGATCCACAGCACAGCAGGTAGGGCACGTGGCTTGCATTCAGCCAACCCCGGTTCTATCCCAGCTTTCCATATGGCCCCCCAAGCACCAAAGGAGAAATATGATTTCTGAGTGCAGAACCAGGAGCAAGCCCTGGGCATTGCCAGGTGTGACCCCAAAAAAGAAATCTAAGACATTACAGCAATTTTCTTTCTAAGTTCGCTTACTTCCCAAACTGGAGGAAGCCAAATTTGAGAAGCCTCTTCAAGGGTGAACTGAATCTGATTCCAAGCAAAGGCCTCTCAAGGAGGTTAAATCCGGGGCTGGAGCCATAGCACAGCCGGGGAGGGCACTTGCCTTGCAAGAAGCTGGCCCTGGTTCAATCCCAGCATCCTATATGGTTCTCCGAGGACTGCCAGGAGCAATTCCTGAGTGCAGAGCCAGGAGTAATCCCTGAACATCACCAGGTGTGTCCCCAAAACAAACCAAACCAAAAAGGTGGGGGGTGGAGCAGCAGTATAGCAAGTAGGACATTTGCCTTGTGCAGGGCTGACCTGGGTTTGATCCTCAGCATCCATATGGTCACCATCAGGAGTAATCCCTGAGAACTGTGGGGTGTGACCCAAATAGACCCCCTCCCCCCAAAAAAAGGTGGGGGAGGCGGAGAAGAGTCCTGAACTGGCGATGCTGTGTGACTTTCTAGGCCTGGTCTGACCACTCAGGGCATTCAGCAGTCAACCGTGATCCTGGAAGGCTGACATGTGCATGACACTCCAGAACGTTTCCAGAAGTCTCAGGCAGGAAAAGCAACTCCCCTTCCTTCCCAGTAAACAGATTTCCCATAAAAGCCTTCAATCGTTTTTTTGAACGTTTCCATGTCTGAAATGGGCATGTCTGAAATGGGCACCTGAGCCCATGGCTTTGTGTTCCAGAGCTAAAAAGCTTCTCCACGTAGAGCCTCCCCCCATGGTTTTTAGACCCGCCAGAGGAGTGCACTTCCTCCTTCGGTCTGTGGTCACCTTTCCAGCAAAGACCTGTGCCAGACCCACAAACCTCACTCACAGCGTCTAAGCACATTCATTCAGGTGCCTGGAGGTGAGCAAATGACAAATGTACTTCTCTTTGGGAAATGAAATCCGACGGTGAGAGCAGAGAGATTTGTGACTTGTAACAAACCCTAAGTGGATGGAAAATTCCCACGTGGGGAAACCGACAAGAACTGAACATCAGTGAAAATAGTGATTAAATCCAACGGCTGGGCTGCCTCCCATAAACAGATTATGCAAGACTCGGTGCTTAAAAACCCAAGATTACAAAGTGCTCGTCCACTAGGCCCCACGGAACAGGTGTGCTGAGATGACAAATATTCAAGCCTGAAACAAAACGGTGTGTGTGGAAGCTGAGACAGGTTAAGTGATATCTGAGAATGCAGTGGTGACTGGGTGTGTGGGGAGGAGGGCAAAGGAACTGTTATTTCTGGCAGAAGCTTTCCAAGCATTTTAGGAACTAGTGCAGACTACCAGACAGACTTCTATCTTTTTAAAGCAGCAATGCGTGGAGACTGGCCAGACTTTAAAAAGCTGGGGAGCTTGGCTGTTTGACACAAGCCCCAAAGGGGACCCTCCCTACCAGGGGCAACCTGGTCACTCCAACGGTAGGTAAAAGGACACGGAGTTCCCTTCCTCAGCTAAGGAGCAGAGTGCATCTGGTACTGGGCCACATGCTGCCCGCAGAGAGCCCGGGAAGTCACAAATCCCGTTCTGTCCTGTTGGAAAGAGACTTCCGCCTTCACCATCGTCATGTCTAAGAAGCCACCAGGTCAAGCTCAAGACAACTGGTCTGCAGCAGGTACAACCGGTGTGCTGCGACTTGTGCAGATGACAAACCCAGCGGGGTCCTGGAGGTGCCCAGGAGCGGCTGCTGCTTGGGGTTCAAACTCCCCCCCACCCCCAGTCCCAATGCACACAACGGAGATCCCGCTCGCTCCTGCCTGGGTCACTCCCTGGTCGCTCCAAAGTCCCCTCTCCCAGACTCGCAGAACTCTCAAGATTTCCGCTGACCTCTCTCCTAGACGTCTGCGCCTCGTCTGTCGGCCAGGAGGCCTCGTTATCCGTTGTGCAACCGGTTCAGAGGATCCCCGGGGGCCAACCTGCACCCAGCTGGCTGGAACCAAGCACAGGCACGGGGGCAGCCCGGGCAACCCCGGGCACCCAAAGGAGGCCAAACGGGGAAGTCGCGGGCCAGGCGGCCGTGTCCTCGCGCGCGGTCCCTCCAGGCGGCTCGGGCCTCCTCCCTCGGGAGCGGTGCCCGCCCGCCCGCCCGCCGGGGAGCAACCTTTGAGCTCCCTTTCCCCTGCACAACAAGCTTCACCTCTCGCCCAGTGCGACAGTTAGTTCCCGGCGGTGCGTTGACGTCGACCAGCCCCGGCCGGGACCCTCCCTGGGAGCGGGGTCCCCTTCTTCTCCAGGCCCGCAGCAGGGTGTGTGCGCGTGCGGGGTGGGGTGGGGAGGGGGGCGCGCGCCAACGCCCACCCTCCGGCCTGCCCGGGCAAGGCGCGACCCCCGCCAGGGCTCCTGCAGCCCCGGGCCCCGCCGGCCCGATCGGCGCCGCTGTCAAGCCAAACGGGCCCCGGCCGCGGGGCGCGTCATCCTCCCGCCCCCCCGCCCCGACTTCCTTCCGAACGCGGATACTTTTTGTTATTTTGTATCGAGCGGGCGGCGGCGGGGCCGGGAGGCAGCGCCCGCAGAGCAGAGCGGAGCCGAGCGGTGCAGAGCGGAGCGGAGCACGCGGGAGGGAGCCCCCCGGGCACTCACCCCCGGGCGTGGTGGAGAAGAGGGTCCCCCCGGGCGTGGTGCAATAGTCCTGAGGTAGCTGCGCGGCGTCGCTGATGGCCACGGTGCGCGTGGGGATGGCGCGGCTCTGGCTGGGCTGGTGGCCGCTGCCGGCCGACGAGGACATGGCTCCGTCCGGGCGCGGGCGGCGGGGCTTTGTCCGGCGCGGGGGACGCGGGCGGCGGCGGCGAAGGCGAAGGCGGGCCCGGGCGTGCTGCGCTCGCTCCTCGCTCCCCGGCTCTCGCTCCCCGGCCCCGCTGCGCGCCCGCCGCCGCCGCCGCCGCCGCCACCGCCCAGCCTCGGGCCTCCAGCAGCGCCAGCAGCACGAGCAGGAGCAGCAGCAGCAGGAGCAGCAGCAGCAGCAGCGGCAGCGGCGACGACGACGACGGCCGGAAGCGGCCGAAGGCGGGAGCCACTGGGAGGCCGGGGGCGGGCCGCCCGGAAGTGACGTGGGGCGGGCGGGGCCGGTCGGCGGCGAGGGGCGGGGCGTTGGGTGGGTGGGCGGGGCTCCAGTGGGCGGGGCGGGCCGCCCGCCCCCGGAGGGGGGGACTCGAGAGGCGGGGACCCTGCAACCACGTGTGAGCGAGCCGGGCCCAAGGAGGGCGGGGAAAGCTGGGGGTTTCGGGTTTTGTTTTTGGTTGTTCCTGCTCCCCGTCCTAAGCAAAAGTGTGATTCTTAGGTTTAGTTGCTTGGTTTTACATATAGGCAATGTATGCTCGGTGGTTTTTTTTTTTTTTTTTTTTTTTTTGCTTTTTGGGTCACACCCGGCGATGGACAGGGGTTACTCCTGGCTCTGCACTCAGGAGTTACTCCTGGAGGTGCTCAGGGGACCCTATGGGATGCTGGGACTCGAACCCGGGTCGGCCGCGTGCAAGGCAAATGCCCTACCCGCTGTGCTATCGCTCCAGCCCCTCGGTGTATTTTTTTTTTAAATAGAAAGTTTATCTCACCCGGTTTCCCCTTCCAGAGGAAACCACGCCACGGTTTATAGCGCATCCTTCCAGAGATTGTCCCCATATACGTAATAGGGACATAATGCAACATAGGAACGCAAAAAGAAAGGAATCCATGCTATCCCCCTAACCACAAGGATGAATAGTATCTCAGATAAACCCAGGAACAGGGAAAAAGTAAAAAGATCTTACAAAACCCCTATGCACTAATATTTATTCTATTCCTCGCCCCTCCCCTTTTTTTTTCAATAAGGAGAGAAGTGGACAAATGAATTAGACTTCCCTATGTCACAGATTTTCTCCGAACAGTTAAAGCAGTAAAAAGCTATTTCTCCCATTTCTGGAGGTCGTATTCAATATGCCAAAAACAGTAACAAGTCTCACAATGGGCGGGGGGGAGGGTGTCTCTCACAATGGAGACGTTACTGGTGCCCACTCGAGCAGATCGATGAACAACAGGAGGACAGTGCTCCAGTGCTGGGGGTCAGGAACATGAATGCTGCTCCCTGAGGCTTGCCAGGCTGGCAGTCATCTGAAAGCCTAACTGTGGCTGGCACATGTGCCTGTATTTCTCACAGAGGCTCAGTCTCTCTCTATGTTGGAAACTTCTCCATATTACTATTTGAGTGTCTTCCGGTGTCACATGGTAGCTGACTCCTCCTTTCAGAATGATCGATCCAGGAGCAGGAACGAGGGAGGAAGGTACTGGCGCTGGGCACCTAGTTCAAAGGATTGGGGTACATAGCTCACCTGTGTGAAGCCCAGAGCTCAATCCTGGAAACACATATTCTTTCCAAGCACTTCTTGGGTGTCCCAGGTGACGCTCTGCATAGCTGGACTCAAGCACCTTATTGCCAGGCTCAAGCATAGAACCATCCAACCTGTACAGGTTGAGCATTGCTGGGAATTGTCCTGTCTCTTGTGAGCACTGCTTGGGCACAAAAGTTAAAAAAGGAAGAATAATAAGCTACAAGACTCTGGACCTAACCTGGTAAGTCATATACCACATTCTATTTCTTGAAATCAAGTCATTGAGCACTACTGACGTTCCGTGGCAAGGCAATATAGGTTGCTTCACAGAGAATTTGTGAACACAGTTTAAAACCACCTACCCCAGTTTGATCTCTGACCCTGAATATGGTCCCCTGTGCACTTCCAGGACTGACTGCAGAGCACAGACTCAGGAGTAGCACACTGAGCACTGCTAGTGTGGCCCCTCTGAAAATTAAATGAATAAAACCACACATTACTACAGGTCAGGAAGACTGAAAGCATTTAATAGGAGAAGCCCAGTACACAAGTCTGATAAGTTCCTGCTTGTATTACACTTGTTTGTGTCACTTTCGTCAATACAAGTCACATGAGCATGCCCCAAATCAATGTGAAAGGTGACAAGAGTCTGTAAGCCAGGAGTCAGTATTCATTGAGAACCGCTGGTACTACAGTCTTCCCAACTGCAGTAAACTTTGATCTCCCTGAAATGCTGATTATTTTTTTTTTTTTTGCATTTTTGGGTCACACCCAGCAATACACAGGCGTTACTCCTGGTTCATACACTCAGGAATCACTCCTGGCGGTGCTCGGGGGACCATATGGGATGCTGGGAATCGAACCTGGGTCGGCCGTGTGCAAGGCAAATGCCCTACCTGCTGTGCTATTGCTCCAGCCCCAATGCTGATTATTTTCGAAACTGTCTTTTGCAACTTACGTTGCTTCTCTTTCCTATAGGCTTATTTTTTTCCTACCTGTCTTTATGCCTGTTTTTTTTTTTCTTTTGTAAGACACTTTCTTCACATGCTTGACATTTCTCCATTCATGGATAAATATTCATAAGGGAAGGGACTGGACCTGGAGGTAGTTTAGTGGCAAAATGCCTACTTGCAAATATAAAGCCAAGAGTTCAATCCCCACATCAGACCATATACCCTCAGCGTGACCCCAGTGCGTGGAGGGAAGGGGTGACAATCTGCATCAGTGAAATACTGAAAGGAAGTTTTGAGTGGGAGAGAGAGCTAGTAGGGATTGTCTCAATATGGGCTTCTTTGGAGGATCATCAGATTCAAGTCGGTCATTTGGGAAGCCCCAAATGTCAATATCTATAGAGGCTTTATCTTTTGCTGGTTAATGTTCCCCAAGAACATTGCTCTAGAACATTCCCAAGAAGAATGCTCTAGTTTTGAGAGTTCTGAGCCACAGGCTAGGGCTGGGCAGTGAAGCCAAACATTGGGGGTTTTGTATGTTTGATTTTGGGGGGTGGGGACACACCAGTGCTGCTCAGGGCTGATTTCTGGTGCTTTGCTCAAGGATCACTCCTGGCAAGGTTCAGGAGACGGTATGGGGTTCCGGAAATCAAGTGCTCTACCTGCTGTACTGTTGCTTGGGCCCTGAGGCAAGACTTAGGTTTTTGATTTATGGGGTTTTGTTTTGTTTTAAAGCCACACCTGGCAATGCTGACGGATTACTCATGGCTCTGCACTCAGGCGTTTACTCCTGATGGTGCTCAGGGGACCATACGGAATGCCAGGGATTAAGCAAGGGTGGTGTGCAAGGCACATGCCCTACCCACTGTACTATCTCTCTGGCCCCTGAGGCAGAACTCTGAATACAGATGCTGGGCCTGAGATGGGCCAGGGTACTAGAGCACATGCCATGCACAGGTGGGTGCTGGTTGAACCTCTTCGTTTCAACTCTGCTGCCAAAACCCAAAGCCCCAAACAGAGCACAAGGTATCGTGGACTCCTGTGTTCTCAGTATACCTTCCCAGGCCACGCCCAGGGTGTGCCTCTGAAGACACAGGTGTCTCTGAGAGGAGCCCTATCTGCAGGCAAACTTCCCATCTCATCTGCACATGTTGGGAAGGGACGGTGAAGGGGATGGAGGCGTTCCAGCTCTCCTTTTATTGATGTACTTAGGTATCTTGATTTGGGGGCCACACCCAGTGGTGCTCTGGACACTCCTGGTTCTATACTTGGGGTTACGCCCAGTGATGCTTGGGGGACCAGGCAGGGTTGGGGATGGAGCCGGGGCCTCCTACCACACAATCATGTGCTCAGCCCTTTGAGCTCTCTCCCCAGCCCCAGCCAGCTGAACTTTTGAAGATTTTAATGTATTATTACCTTTGGGGTTCTGGGCTGTACCCAGTCATGCTCAAGGGCTACTCACAGTTCAGTACTCAGAAGCACTACGGGCGTGTTATACCAGAAATTGAACCTGTGTCCGTCTAGCATGCAACACAAGCACTTTAAGCCCGGTACAATCTCTCCAGTCCCAACCTTCTTTTGTTTTTTGATTTTTGTTGTGTTTTGGAAGGACCATAACCGTTGGTGCTAAGGGCTCACTCTTGGCAAGGTCGGGGGACCATATGGTGTGCTTGGGTTGGGCTGGTTGTGTGCAAGCATACACCTGCTGTACTATCTCTCCAATCCCAGCCCCAGCCTCTTGAAGATTTTAAATGAGTCTCTTTTCAGCCCCACCCTGCACACCTGACTACAGAAGTTTCCAGAAGCCTTCCGGGAGGGCTGTGTTCTGACTTCTCTTCGCGTTAGCTCCTCTGCCTTCATTTCCCCACTCACTCATCTCTTTGCTTTCCAGCTTCCAAAATGTTTTTGCCCTCCCTAGTCCCCAGCCCTGTCCTTTCCTGGCTTCTTCATCCTTCCAGCTCTCAGCTCTTAAAAATCCTCCTTGGCTCTCACTTTATGTTGAAGGAAGAGAGTTGTCTAATATGAAAGAACTGTCAAAAACAAGACGTATGAAATAAAGGTGGTGGGCTTGGTGTTGAAATAGTGAATGGAATCAATTATTGTGCACAACTTTATGAAAATAAAATTATAAAGAAAAAAGAAAAAAAACACAAGATGTAACTATCCTCAATTTTTTGTTGGTTTGTTTTATTTTGGATCACAACCAACTGCTCAGGGCTTACTACTGGTACTGCACTCAGGGCCCACTCCTGATAGTGCTTGGGGGACCATCTGGGATGCCAAGGACTGAATACAGGTTGACCATGCCCTGCCCCCTGTGTGATCACTCCAGCTCCATGTAACTATCTTGTTTCACTTAAAGTACACATCATGTTCTTACATAGTATATCAGTCTGGAATCCGTTGCAATAGCAGAGCGGGCTTCTTCACAGAAGTATGTGCTTAAAACAACGTTGGCCAGAGACCAGAGACACCAGCCATCAAGGGCTACAGTACACGGTTTGCATGTTGGAGATTTGAGCAAGCAACCTCCTATTCCTGAGGTAGGAGTAGCACCCATCACTGCTGTGTGTGTGTACCCTGGCCCTCACAAACAAACAAACAAACCAACAGGTGACCAGAACCCCCACACCTGGATCTACGTGAGGAATGGGTTCCAGGTGAAAGCTCCAAATGGCCCTCAGAGTACTGTGGAA